GTCTAGTTTCATTTACACAGTGTACAGGCCTGTAGCCATTGAGGACACTGAAGTCATTTTTTGAGAGTTTCAACAACAGTTTGGAGTTGCATGCTTTAATTTAAACAAAAATGTACACATGGTGGGTATTTTATAGTGTAATTCCAGTATATTTAGACTCAGGCTGTAATTCTAATACATACTGGGGGGACATATTCCTCCAATATTTAAATTATGCTCAAAATGTCTTCCTTAAAAGTAGTAATAAAAAAATATATTCAAAAAAAACTAACTACTTCAAAAAAACGTGCAATACAACAGGTGACCAAAGCCAAAACCCAAAAAATCCGTAGCAAATGTAATCATAGTCATAAATAAACTCAACAAATTGCCATCATAATAATTAAATAAATAATACTGATCATCACATGCCATTGCCCGGGAACACATGAAGAAATCTATATATTTGGACGATAATATTTGGGTGATTTCTATTAAGACACATGGATTTTTAGGTAGAACCGTAACATGTGACAAGTTTATCTTACTTTAGAAAATCTAGGAAACCAACTGCCTTGAAAAAAGCGAAGTAAATCTAACTGTTAGTCTTAAGTTGTGTTTGTTTTTTATGCATTTTAAGACTAATGGTTTTATTTACTTACCTTTTCAAGGCAATTGGTTTACTCGTTTTTTAAAGTAAGATCAACTTGTCAGATTTTACAGTGTAGCACTGGGCTATAAGACTCACTAGAGTAAGTTATCTTTTTATAAGTAGAATTTTAATGATAAATATTAAAACCATACAGACCCCTAATTGTTTATTACTTTTTACCTTGAGGAAGAAACATGTGAGTAGGCCTTATAATGCTGAAACATAAGAGCATAACCTTTTGTGTAACATTACTTAAATTGTGCAGGATTTTTGGTTTCAAGATGTTTTAAAATGGTCAGTTTAGCTGTAAAGTTTCTCAAAAAAAAAAAAAATGCATCCTGGGTGAATTTCCTCACACGCACCTTTAGGTTTGGGTGGCACAAGACATACACTGACAATGGACCCCCAGAATGTTTAATGGGTGATTACGGCCCTGCTCCAAACTCAGTATAACAACCAAAATTTAAACACACTATTCATTTCTTTGCCACCAGAATTTTGCTCCTGACAGCATGAAGAAGATGCAGATAGATTATGCTTTGTCCTTTTAAAGGATCTTTACAGAAAATGTAACTACAGTTAATAGAATCAATAAAATATGACAAATGCAAGCAATTATATTTTAGTGAATTATTTTAATTGACTCGGTTTTTTGGTGTTTTGTACATGGGAATTATTTCTATTGGCATCTACTTTATTGAAGTGTGTAGGGATTCAAATGGGGAAAAAATAAATCCACATGACACATGCACGCACTCTGCGGCCACAACGTAAAGGAAAACACAGCGGCTTCAGTCGGGAATGTGCTTTAAGGTTGCACAAGTCAATAAAGATATTGAATGTGAAAGGGAAGCCGGGGGTCAGGTGGCCGTAAAGATTGCTCCTATGCAAACATGCCTCCTCATCTTTCCACACACACACACACACACACACACACACACACACACACACAGAGCAAGGATACTGTCAGCCAGTATCTTTGTGTCTCAGGCCGTCTGTACTGTACTGTATGATCTTACCGAGCTCATAATATTCAGCACCCTCACTTCTACCACCTCCCACTCCCCATAGCCTCACCCCTGCATCCATATTTTGGCTGCCACACTTTATGAAGGGCCAGCAACCGTAAAAAATGGATCTGGATGCTTTTAAGATGATCTGTGCCCCCTCCCTCCCATGTCACAGGCACTCTCACTGCCGAGACACGAGCTCTCCTCTGTACCGGATTGTCTTGAAGCACGGAGGCCGCTGCGGTTTTGGGCCTGAGGTGTGGAATGTGGTGCTGACGATGACACAACCCCTCCGCCCTCTCCTCCCTCCCCCGGCCCTCTACAAGGGGCCTCATCCAGCTGTCTTGTTGTGGTCAGATTCTCAGTACTGTGCCGTATCACATGGGGAGGAGATAATCCCGCACTGGTCGGATCAGGCGCTGGCTGGGACAGGCAGGGCTGTCAGGGAGGGAGATGTACACCCGATGCTGAAAGGCAGAGAAAAAGAGACAGACAGAAGGGAAGAGGGAGAGGAAGAAAAACAGAGATCTTGCAGAAAACTGATACATTCAGCCAAAAACAGCAGCTTGTTCTGTCTTCGTCCCTCCCGTTCTTCAACATTATCTTACCCCTTCTTTCACCCCCTCTCTGTCCGTCTCTCTGCCCTCCTGCCTCTGGTCTCTGCCGTTTGCAGCGCCGCTAAGCTGTAAACTGAAACTGGTTAGCGCTGAGCTCTTAATTCTTGTCAGCGTCTATTAATTATGGGCCAGTTGGATGTTCCAGTTCAAACAGCTCCCGCGGATCTTGGAATTCTAACTCCGGCTGTTTGGTCACTTGTCGCTTGTCGCAGCCACATGACCCTGCAGGGAAACCAGTGTGTGCGTACGTGTGTGTGTGTGTATGCGAGGAACAAAAGCAGCAACAATTTCCTACAGTAGTGAATTCAGGGTACGCACCTGCTTATGAAGTTTTTGCATTACACAAGCGTATTGTTGTGAGAGCCTCCGCTAACTGCGCATCCCTTTATTAGGCCTATGTGTGTCATTTAATAGAGAGGAGCTTTTGAATTGATTTAATATCTGGAGTACATGCGCACACTTTCCTGAAGCACAATTTATAATTTTAAATTTACCTTAACCAAGAGTAATGGTGGAAACAACTACTGAAGCTCCATCTATTGCAAAGCCCAGTTCCTAGCTGCCTAACTGACTAATTAAAACCACATCCACATGTGTTCAAAGAACAAGAAGTCTATTTCCAAGCCTTATTGATTACTTTAAGGCGTACAAATGGAAAGCAGTGTTAGGAGAGGGGCTCTCGATTTAGCTTCAATCTGCCAGGCATAAAATGATCTCACTGTGTTTGCTGGGAAGAATGAGCTCCCTCTGGGCATGGTGGGTAATTAGGTTAGTGGATAGTCGGTGTCAGGAAATTGAAAGACCATCCTAATCGGATTCTTTTGTTTCCAGGGGAATCAAAGGAATTTATACGAGTCACTGGGAAATCTCACACGACTCAATTCCACTTGACCATGTAAAATCTGTTTGCTCTCCCTCAGTGCTCAAACAACTTTTAATACGAGGGTGTAAATCCAGCACATAAGGTGCACCTGATGTAGCCCGCGTCCTCTGAGATGGCTCTCAGCATAATCCCTGATATGTCAGTTTGTATACTAACTAGGTACTTACACTTCTCCATCTGCAACAAGGACTCTTTGAGTTAAAGGGTCAAAAATTATGTTGCAAAAAAAACTCAGTATTTAATCCCGGTATATGCATATATAAATACTACATTATCTGAAAGGCTTCCTGGTATTCCAGTTAGGAATATATTATAGTCTGGAAAACATTTCTGGGAAAAGCTATGTATCAAACTGAAGAAACAGTCTGCAGTTTCATAATGAATTTGAAAATAATAAAAACACTGAAATCTTTTTTATGACTCAGCAAAATTCAGAGTTGTTCTGATACCAATGCCTCTGATTCTGCCTAAAATGTTGAATCATATATCAGCGAAAACACGAGTCTATGCATAAATCAGATAGCACAACATTTATTATAGAACTATAAAGTAATTTCACCCCCGAATAAAATATTTACCAGAAATCAGTTCTTCTTCGTCGGTCTAAAGCAGTACACAGCAAGTAGCACTGTGCAGTCCTTGGCAGCTACTGTTTTAGAGCAGCATTTCCAGTAAATAGTGTGACGTTAGCCATTAGCAAAATGTAAGCAATTTCACAAATTCTATGGCGTTCATTCTCTGTATGTATTTGTTCATGTTTTATAAATGAATTAACCTAAGCCATGCCTTAAAACAAGGATAGGATAGCAATCAAGCAATGGTATTTAAGCAATATTTGTAAACGACTGACAAGCAAGTTCGGGTATTGGAATTTGGTATCAGGAAGGAGAAAATGGTATCTGAACATCCCTAGCAAAATATGTGCAAATAGCCTATCATCATAAGAAGTAGCTAGTGTAGTAGTTTCAATTGCGTAAAATTGGCTTAGAAGTGTCTTTGGTTTAGCAGCCATTTATACATTATTCAGTCATTCAATCATTTTTTATGTTTGTGTCATGCCAAATAATTCGGACCATCCCACATGGGATTACAAAGCTCCATTATTGAAAAAGCATCTTCCAGTCATGCATAGACAAATCATGTGGACAAATGAAAAGAGAGGAGACAAAAACTAAAAATAAAACAAATACTTTCCCAAATATACTGTGGACAGGAGGAGTTACTGTATATCTACAGATGTATCTTCACTGTGATGACGGCACATGCGGACGCAGCAGCTTGTGGCTCTATTTTTATTTATTGGTGATGTGATTGAGGTATTTTTCTGGGTTGTCACTTGTTTGTACCTTTTAACTTGCACTGTGTACAGTTGTAGCTTTTAAAAATGCCGCTGCACTGGTACGATGTCAGTAAGGGACGACTTCTTCTTCCTCTTCTTCTTTTTCAGATTATGTCAGTAAAGAGCTTTTTCTCTTTTCCCAAACTTTCTCCAGATAGCTGGCTAATTATATGTTTCTTATGTGAGCAGACATCTTAGTCTTTGTGCAGTCATCCATGTTTACACAATTGATATGTATTCTTATCTTAGTAAACAAGGCATTTTACTGTTCACAATGAAAAAAGGACAGTAGAAAACAAAATGGAACTCAGTTTCTTTTTTACAATACACTGAGAGACAGACACACTTTTTTTTGAGTAAATACCGTCTAGTTTCAACAGTCAAAGGTAAAATACCAGATCCCAGCTGAGCACATGAAGATCTTTAAGACAAATTATATACAACCCTAACTCTCAGTACCAAGTTTTGGTTTAGTCCATATATTATCACTCATCATACATGTATGATATGTTTTTTGCAGGTGTACGTCTGGACCGGGTGAGAGGGGGGAGACAGAAGTACAAACGGAGGTTGGACGCAGAGAACAGCGCCTACCTCGGCCTCAGCATCCCCCCTCCAGCCAAAAAGCCACGTGAGTCTCACAGTTTGTGTATTTCTTTCTGAATGTTGAGAGACTTGGGTTACAGAAATACATCATTTTGCTTTTATACTGAAGCAATAATTTCACAACCTGAGCATTTTGCAGCATTTTTTGAAGATGGCTTTTTACTGTAAAGAGGAAAAAAATCTCTTGTGCTCTGGAGAGATTCATCACCGGGCCAAACTGCAACCTTTTTTTGACTTTGCCCCATATATTATGACATGCTAGACTATATTTTGAATTAACACTTATTTTTTTACTTAAATTTAATATGTACTCATTAATTTGTTGTCATTGCTGTGCCCCAGTGTAATCCAGCCAACATTATTTTTCCCTTTTTTGGTAACACTTTATTTAGAGATTCCATCTAGAGACAGTTTAAACAGTATTTATAGCATTGAACAGCTTGTTAGCCGAAATTCAACAATTCAGCTGTTTCGCTTTGTAGAGTTTGTCTTACAATTCACTACATATTCTCAGAGTTGAACTTAAAGTATTCAATCAATTTATGCAGCACATGTTGAGTGAATAGCTTAAGTTCATCCAAATTATTATGAGAATATGTAGGTATGTTCATGAAGCGTCACAGATACTTTTATATGTGATAATCTGTTAAACATCTGCAGTATAAAGTGAAACATTTAAATTGTTGATAAATACTCAAATACTCTGTACTATCTATATCTATACTATACTATGTAACTATCTCTCATCGTACAAATACAGTGTTACCTTATTTTCCTTTAAAAAAAAAAAAAAAAAAACTGGGTACGCTGTTGCCTAAAATAGTCTCACAACTCACCCCTCTTTCAGTGACGAAGATCGTTTCCCATCTGTTGGTGGTGGAGCCAGAGAAGATCTATGCCATGCCTGACCCCACCATGCCCGACGGAGACATCAAGGCCCTGACCACGCTGTGTGACTTGGCTGACCGTGAGCTGGTGGTCATCATCGGCTGGGCCAAACATATCCCAGGTAGAAAGACCTAACTGCTAATGAATGACTGTGCTATGCTGAATGTGATTTTCAGATTCATTTCTCAATCTGACATTTTAAAAATTTCTCACATTTAATTCATACTTTTTACCGTGTGTTGCAGGAAAAAAAGGCAAATTCATAGCAGGCTATATGCTGCTGGTAAAGCAATGAAGGAAATCCACATTTGTACTTTAATTTGCTTTAATGTTACAGTATGCGATTGCTGAAGTAGTTCACTGACTGTTGCACACACATAAACAACCCCCCCCCCACACACACACACACACACACACACACAGGATAATTAACATCTGCTACTCATCTGCACCTAAGGGAGAAGCTAGTCCCATATTCTAAAATCTAATCAATAAAGAGCAGCTGAAACCTTTGATTTGACTGGGTGGGGCGGGAGAGCCTGTGTGTGTGTGTGGGGGGGGGGGGGGGGGGGGGTCCGCCCCTATGTCAATGTATTCCATTTCAATCCCAGACTTAAAGAAAGCAATCCTCTTACTTACTTAAGGAGACTACACAGTAAAATTGATTTATTTAGGGAAATACTGATGGACTTGTTATGCAAATGCTGTGAGATCTTCTTTGCTTTTTATCTCTATCAGCTGAAACACACACTTTGGTCTACACTATGTTTAAAGGGAGCACAGGTTGGACTCAAAGAAGATGCATCTCATTGATCCAGTCAAGTATAGTATGGGCAAAATCACACATTTGGCTAATTCAGTCATTTTGGACACAAAGATGCACTGCAGCAAACAAGTTTCATTATCCGTTAACAGCAAACCATTTTCTCAATTAATCAAATAAATGCCCATCACAATTTCTGAGAGCACAAGTCCTCTTGTTTTGCCCCGCCAAGAGTACAAACCCCAAAGATACTTAATTTACAATGATAAAAACAAATGCTTTGTCTCAAATCAGATACTTCTGTACTTATACTTTGTAATGTAAGCGCATAAGTGCATTCACATTGAGAAGTATGGCTAAATGCAGTACACTATGAGTACGTGGATGTTGCACTTGTAAGGGTGCACAGTGAATAAGTTGAGTGTGGAAAGTTGGACGCTTCCTACCCTCAATGGTCAACATGTTGCCTACGCAATAGAATTGTAAAATGTCAGCCGACACCAACAGTGAACACTGAAGCTTTGTACAAATATACATGTGTATTTTTCACAGCTGCTACACCGTTATCAGACAGAAGCCATCAGTTTGTTTATTGGGTTAATTCTATAGTAATTTGGTGCCGCAAACGTTAACATGAATGCTAATGTTAGCTTGCTAGCTAGCTAACAGCAGCGCATTTTATCACCAGGCATTGACGTTTCATGTGTTCTGCTATAAGATATGATATCTGTGGGCATAAGTTACATTTTGTGTTTATGCATGTAAAATTGTCATCTTCACTGTATCAATCAATCAATCAATTAATTTATCTATAAAGCCCAATATCATAAATCACAATTTGCCTCACAGGGCTTTACAGCATACAACAGAGGATCCTGTAGAGGATTTTAGTGTTGGATTTTGGTTCTGATGCTTGAGAAGTTGTAGATGATCGCAAAATGTAGCATCATTAACTCAGGTGATCAGCTGGTGACAGAGCCAGCCAGTATCAGCCACGGACTTTCGTAGATATATAAATGTGCCATTAAAGCATGTCTATTTCTAATACAATAAATGTCGCCTCACAGCAAGAGGGTTCCTGGTTTGAATGTTGGGGTGGGGGAGCCCTTCTGTTTGCATGTTCTCCCCTGGGCGCTCCAGCTTCCTCCCACAGTCCAAAGACATGCAGGTTAACTGGTGACTCTAAATTGTCCGTATGTGTGAATGTGAGTGTGAATGGTTGTCTGTCTCTATGTGTCTCTTTGGTGACCTGTCCAGGGTGTACCCCGCCTCTCGCCCAGTGTCAGCTGGGATAGGCTCCAGCCCCCTGTGAACCCCGACAGGTAAAGTGGTTAGGGGAAATAAATGAATGAATAAAATAAATACAGAAGAGATCAAGAGAGCAAACAAGCAGATACAGCTAGCATATACTTTAGCGAGTGACAGTCGTTTGTCAAACGTTGGCGATGATGCTCCACCTGGTTGCAGTTTGCAAGCAGAAGAAGAAAAGCTGAGAAAGCTTATGACCATCATTTTTAGTAGGTGTGCAACGGCAGTGTTTGATTTGAGACAACACAACCCCGTCAAAATTTACTCACCACACAAGTACATCATCCACACAATGCACTACATGTAAGCATACTAACGGCAGTATGTTATTTGGGACACATCATTTTGCTACAAATAATTAGGCAGTTGTCAGAATAATGTAAACTTTAATGCAGCGTCACGTAGTAAATTAATCTCTCCGTAACAATTAAGAAGCTAAACATAGCAACTTGATTTGTCTTTTTCTACCTGTGGATTTATTCACTGCTTTCCCAGCTGGCACATTAACCAGCTGCGTAGCTCTCTGCTCTGTCCATTGTTAGCCATAATCACTGATTCGTCATCAGATTTACTTTTTACGCCTTTATGAATACAATTTGGAGTAGTTAAAGGTGTGTGGGAACCTCGGAGAATTGATTTTACAAAGACACAGGGGAGCTGTGTGGTCTGATTAGGAAAACTGGCTTTTGGGGGGACGCTGGGGTCCGATACCAGGGTGCTGTTTCACCACTGGGAAGGGAGTTTTTCCCCTGACCTCCTTTTCATCAAACATCTGGTAAACACAGTTTACTAGCTTTTTTAAAATTGAATTCAGGTGTATTTTTAGTGTGATCCACAATTAAATTCGTCAACTTAATCATAGCTACACGGAACTAATTAAAGAAATTTAGCATCATATTTTCTCTGCTACATTTTCTGTGTCTAACTATTGATCTTGCATGCTGTGTAGTAGATCTAAATCCAGACCTGACAGAGTTATTAAAGGGGCATGTGACACTCTGGGGACATTTTACCCGGGGCCAGCGGGTCAGAGTGTCACCAAGTAACGATTAAGACAAAAGGGGTCCCTACAGTTTAACAGTCCACTCCCACCATTACACTCATAGCCCACTGAGCAAATGGCCTTAACGATGAGGTAATAAGAGTCATTACTGCAGATCGCTCCATTAATGTAAAAGTCCTTCAATGTCCACATGTGGAGACCCACATCTGAGTAGGTTTTCTGTTGCGTCGTCATTTTGAGGCTTAAATATTTGTGGTAAATAGCCAGGCTCAGGGGCAAGTTATGATTTAGTTTAATCAATCAATCAATCAATCAATCAATTTTATTTATAAAGCCCAATATCACAAATCACAATTTGCCTCACAGGGCTTTACAGCATGCGACATCCCTCTGTCCTTATGACCCTCACAGCGGATAAGGAAAAACCCCCCAAAAAAACCCTTTAACAGGGAAAAAAAAAAAACGGTAGAAACCTCAGGAAGAGCAACTGAGAAGGGATCCCTCTTCCAGGACGGACAGACGTGCAATAGATGTCGTACAGAACAGATCAGCATAATAAATTAATAGTAATCCGCATGACACAATGAGACAGAAAGAGAGACAGAGACAGAGACAGAGAGATGCAGGTAATGACAGTAGCTTACAACAACATTATTGAAAGTAATAATATTATAGTTATAGTTCTGGCTACTGTGGTATAATATGTTGAAAGTATGTATTAATATCTGACAGTATACATGTGTGACAATAGTCATATGTGTATAATAACAGTAGAAGTATGACTAATGATGGCAGCAGCAGGAGGCATCTGGCAGGACCACGGCAGCAGCACAACCACACACGTCACGCTGTCCAGGTACCTCTGCGATATGAGTTAATCTGAGAGACAGTGTGCACAAGTTTACTTTAAATACAGAAGCAAATATATGCACCAGATATTAATTAGAAGACGCAGTTTCCCTGTGCCTTTGAAGCCAACATGCTTGAGAGGAAGACTGTAACTCATCACAAGGCAGCCATTGATTGGATGTTACACGCACTGTCATGAAAATGGAAACAGAATTGCAGCACGGTTGTCAGGTGGTCAGAGGTGGCCGCTAATTTGTGCCGCTGTTAACACACGCACACGCCATCTCAGACATGTAAGTGCACACAACATGTGTAGATTTATATTCCAGGCAACAGCATCCAGCGCCCTCTGGTATTTAATGTTCATTCAGTTCAGCATCGCTTTTTTCTTCTTTCCTCTCTTTTCCTCTGCCACTCACTCACTCACACACACACACACAGACTGTCTCTACCATCATATCTCTCACACACACTCTCTGGCTTCCTTGTTCTCTTGTTCCCCTGGCTCCCCCCCCCCCCCCCCCCCCCCCCCCCCCCCCCCCCCCCCCTTTTTTCCTCTTCCCCCCCCCCCCCCCCCCCCCCCCCCCGCTCCTCCTGCTCATATAGGGCCCTCTAGTCTCATTATTACCTCTGTCTTTTTATTAGGCCCATTAGGGCTCTTAGGAGGCCTGTAATGATACTAAATGAATAGAGAGTGAACTGCTGTCTGTTTTAGACCTAGCTCTCAATGACAGCTTCAAGCTTCACTGCCAACCACTCAGCCTCTTCATTGTACTGAATAGGGATTCAATTACTTATCTGATCTGTACCTGTACTGTACTGTTGCATAGCCAGAGCACTCCTCTTTTCTGCAAACAATCACTAACAGCCCACGTTCTGCTGAGGACTGGGTACCTTATAGAGACAGACACATGGTATACTGGTAAATCATATGGTACAGTGGTTCAGTATGATCTGTAACAGCATGTGGTGTTACATGCAGATTTACAGTCCTACTAAATAGAATTAATTACTCAATTTAGACAATATAGACTTGTGTGGTCTTAAATGCAACAAAAACACTTTGGTTAAAAGTGCTGTATATGACGCACAGAACATTAATATAGCAACAAAAGGTTTCAAAATACATCTCTAAGATGCGCTGGGAGGCGCAACATCAGATACCCTCACCCAGGTGACCCATCCAGGGTTGATCAAGCCCCAGATTGCATCCCTACAGCAGCAATGCATGGGCTTGCCCTCTTCATCCAAAGCCACAGAGTGTCTTTCTCTGTGGCTTCAGTAATGGTTCGTATGGCCCTCCTCATTGCAGCTCTGGTTACTCCTAAAATACTATTTGCTATATAAAGATATAATGGAGTAAAGCATCCAGAACAGAGAATAAAGTCATGCTCCCTGTTTGCGTGTTGTATTTCGAGCATGGGTTAGCATTACGTTTTGGTGATGACACTGCGGTAATTGTGTCTAACCGCCATATGAGCACGATGCAGGGTGGCAGTGATTAGCTAGCCAGTGGGATACACGCTGGGACTGACATGCACGCGTCAATTTAACACTGTTAGCTCTGTAAGCACTGTTGCCATTGTTAGCACTGTTTGCGCTGTTATAACTGTAAGCTGTTAGTTCCTAGCCAATGGCTCAGCGACCTGCATGTTGAGAGCCATGTGCAAGCAATCCCGGCTCAGATTCTAAAACATACATATGCTATCGCGCCTCATGCTTCAAATTAATTTTGTCTTTTTCAGTATTTAACCAAGTCCATGATCCTTTTCTCACTGTACCCAAGAGTTACAACTGCCCTAAAAAAGTCTGTGGTGGTGGTGAAAGCTAACAAGGATTTAGAAATTATTTTAATAAATAATTTAGATATATCGAATAGGCCGCTGCTTAACTACAAAACAGAACTAAAACACCAAACAACAGTAGTGTTACTCTGGCTTGATAATCTATGTCAGCTAGAGAGCTAACAAAAGAGCGCTATGTGCTAGTTGGTAAAATTGAAACAGCTAGCTTTAGTTAAAGCAAATTCACTCTGCATTTTTTTTCTTTAACTGAAAATAATCAACTTTGAACCAATATTTTGGTCACTCAGTATGTTATCCACCGTAACTACAGTAGCCTAAATAAGGCAATAGCTACAGCTAACCTAAGCTAATTTGTCTTAAAACTAGCCTAGCCTAGCCTAGCCTAGCAGAGTTTCAGTTCTGCCATCTGCCGCTCTGGTACCCTCGACAAAGAGCCAAATGTGTTTTACCATAGTTTTTACAAATGGACACCACTTTTATGATTTTTTAAGCATAACAACAGTTGCCAGAAGTAAAAAGGTAATGGCTGGCATCTAACCAAAAATCAATCCAAAATCTGTTCAATAAAAATCCATTGACTTCAAGAGAAGGGAACCAGAAGTGCAAAAAATGCTCACCAGGTTATTTCCAGGTTTTAGGACTCAGTCCTGCAGCACTATATAGACTATAACAGTGATTTCATAATTAGCCCTAAAAGGTATAAAATGAATGCATTATAATCTTTCTCTGTGTCAAGCAGTTTAAACTTAAAATGATTTCTCCTGAATTTCTCCTGAATAGATATCTGTCTTTGTAGGGCAGAATAATAGAAAATTATTCCTTTTTTTATCCCCAGTCTCTGTTCATGCCTTTTGTCATCACACGCAGAGAAAACTGCAGAGAAGGAGACATAGACATTACCCACTTTGCTCAATATTGTGTCATGTTTGGTCAAACGGCAGTAAATCAGTAGGGTGAAATATTGATATTTCATCAGGGGGAATCACCCTCCGCAGCGACACTTAACTCAGCCACCTCCAGGCGACACACCTGAAGCTCCGGGGCGACCCCCAGGGAGCCGGGAAGTCACTCCATCGCTTCAGTAAATTGAGTGGAAAGAAAAAAAACACAGACTGGGGAAAAGAAAAGAATGATGAAGGGAAAAAAAGGAGACAGCTGAAGAGGGTGCCGCTTCTTTTCCAAAGTGTGTGAAGAAATGTAGAAAGAAAGAGCTGAGCACATGAAAGAAATGGTGCTCTAGAAGCTGGTGTGCTTTTTGTTGATGAACCAAATTAGAGATTTAATGCATTGAACACTCATAATAAGCGTTATTTTTGTCTGAATCATTGCTCCTTTACTTTCTCTAACTCACTTTGTCCACACGTTACATGTTACAGTCATTGATCCCCCCTCATTATTCTAAATACACCTTATGGGATTAAAGCCATTAATTTTCTTGTCTTTTGGGGATGGAGAGTAAATTCATGAATTCCCGATGCAGCCTACAGTATCTACATTCGGCGATCCCATATTCCCTACATCCCCCCACTAAACGTGTACCGGATGTCCTCCATCAACTGTCTGTTTGTCAGATCTGAGGCTTGGATCGATCCCCCTTTCGCATTTGGTGGACTGATTACAATCTACTAATCAATGACACCCTCAGCACTCTTTTCTCTCTGCCTCATTCTCTCTCTCCCCGTCGTTTCTCTATTTGCTTGATAAGAACCATCGGGAGGACCTCCTTTTAAGTCAGCCTGCCCCATTCCCATCCACACAACCTGAGATTTAAGTAAGCAGAGTGGTGGGTTCAAGGCCCTGGTCAATACCCCCAATCACCTCCCTATTCAGGAGCGAAAGGTATTGTGGCGCTTGAGGTCCTTTCAGATGTCCATCTGTTTGATGTGGTGTGTGTGAATGTTAGAGAAGAGAGTTGATGGGTCGACCTCGAGATCTTGGAAGAATTGTTAGAAGGTTGAACGCGAGAAACAAAAGGATCAAGACGGTGTCCATCAGGTGGAATATGTTTTTGTCTTGTTTCACCTGTGCTGGATTAGATATCTCACATATTATACCCCTATGTAAAAGTAATTATGCAATTTATTTAAAGAAAATTCAGTTTATTGTGTTTATATTGACATACCTATAGTAACCAGCTTTAATTTTTAGAGTGCACACACAAGATGCACATCAATATGAACTTTAAATCAAACACAACCCTTCTTAAAGGAATACCTCACCCCCAAGTGACCATTTGTACGTATATCAGTTACTCACCCTATGTTAGATTTCTTGCATGCTTCTGGTGAATGTTTACAAACTCTTAACCTGCAGTATAATCAAGTCTCATATATCCAGTCGTATGCTCAGTACTTCCCAAACAGACACCCCTTTCCGACAGGGAACTGAACTGAAAGTGAAACTTAACCATGCTTTTTTGAAAGCCAGACTCCATTGATAAAAACAGTAATTTTACCTCACAGAACACAGGAGCTGCTGGTCTATAGCTGCCTTGATCAGCGGTTTGTTTCTGTTGTGTGATTCTGGCAATCCTGAGTCACACAAAGGTAAAATTACTGTTTTCGTGAACGGAGTCTGGCTTTGTTCACTGTGGAGGCATAAAAGAAAACAAAATTTTCTTCACAAATTCAAGGTAACATGGGATGAGTAATTGCTAAATGGTTATTTGGGAGGTGAAGTATTCCTTTAGCTATTTTTTTTTTTGTTTTAAATTACAGCCATTTTTTCAAAAATATTTATATATTAATCAATACTATACATATTGTAATAAAAATATGTATATAATTTACTTTTAATTTAATTTATTAATGTAATTTATTTGTTTTTATTTTTATATATATATATATATTTTTTTTTTTTTTACAAAATATAGTATTAAAGTAACTAAATAAATAAAAGTTGAATCTTTTTCAGTTCAAAATAGGAAAACATATCCTCTTTAACATCAACCATTAAAACACTGCATCTTGAATCTCTTTGGTCACTTATCAGTCGGATGGACATAAATGTTTTCTCAACAAATCTACTTCCAATCTAAACACATCCCTGCTTTAACTGGAATTAATTTCCCCAGGATTTTCTGTTTTAAGCTTAAATTACCTTCTAATAAATCCAAACCTCATTGAAGATTCACATGACTAATTGATTAACTTTATATTAAGAAACAACCTGATGAGAAATGAAACCTGCTATACTGAAGAAGAGTTTTGCAAGTTGTTTGATGAATAACTTCATACTGTGACAGATAATGACACAAGCCAGAAATAATCATCTATCAGGACATTTTTTGCTATAAAGAAGAATTAATTTTGTGTTCTGTCTCCTGCACCATGACAAGAATAAGAGGTGGTCAGGTTTAAGAGTGGATTTGTCCCCACTAAGCGGTGTCTCATGTGCTTATGTGGTGGGTTGCAGAAAGGCTGACTGTCAACGGCTGATGGTTGAAGTAGCCCTGGGTCATGTTTCAAAGGCCTCCGTACTTGACAGATTTATATTCTTCCCTTAAGCCACCACATACAGTCATCGGCCTCTGTTTCAAGTTGGACTTCTCTGGAGATTATACAGGGTTGTATACACAGCCCATAAAACATATGGAAGACATGAGTCGGACAATTACAGTGCAGTGAGGTTAATGGGTTGATCTCATGATTTGTCATGTGGTTAAACAGTGTGTGTGCAGCAGTACCTGGAAAGCAAATCTCCAAAAATAACACGTCCTCTTTTTTATTTCTGCAGGATTTTCCACTCTGTCGCTGGCAGACCAGATGAGTCTACTGCAGAGCGCCTGGATGGAGATCCTGGTGCTGAGCATCGTGTTTCGCTCGCTGCCCTGTGAGGACGAGATCGTGTATGCAGAGGACTACGTGGTGGACGAGGAGCAGGCGAGGATCTCAGGCCTGCTGGACCTGCACGTCGCCATCCTGCCGCTGGTCCGACGCTACAAGAAGCTGCGCATGGAGAAGGAGGAGTTCGTCACGCTCAAAGCCATCGCCCTCGCCAACTCGGGTATAGTTAACTTCCTCAATCCTGCTGTTGGGCACTATAAACTGATGCAGTGCAGCCAAACACTGTTCAAACCCACAGACCTTTATTTAAAGTTGTACACCAAATGTTTTAGGCAGAATGTTGGAGAAGTGTTGGAAGACATTGAGAATCCTTTGATTTGATGGAGTCTTGAGCCTATTTCCCACTGGAAAAAAAAAAACATTAATGGGTTACTTCCCAGAAACCCAGGGTTTCTTGTACATTGATTTATTTATTCTTATTTCATTGTTGTGTTGATCAGACAACAACTAAGACAAAAATTAGCTAGCTAGCCACCACACTGTCTATCTTCATCACTCCCTGCCACTGTGCACTCCTTCCCTTCCCTGGGAGGAGAGCAGGCAGCAGCTTGGGAGATGGACCTTTTGGTCGGTGGCTATAGTCGTTGGAATTCAGCCAGCGCAAACCCCCCAGCATCTGGTGTCACAGTAGGCTGGTGGCCAGCAGCAGTGCCAGGATTGACTTGTGTAATGGCAGCAACAGAAAGTTTGCTGATCTTGCAGGGAGTCTGGGCCGTCCGGTCTCCTGGAGCTGGGGTTTGTGCTGGCTGGATTAGAAACTGCTGCTGCTCACTCTCCTCCCTAGTAAGATGTCTGTAGTGACGGGGAGTGAGGCGGTGGACATACTGTGATTTGAGGCTCTTGCTTACGTGAGCTACATAAACTTGAACTTGAAGCTGCAGCCATGAGCCTTTAGCTTTGGTTAGCAGAGGGCTAAACTATTAGCAGCATTTTCTCTCAATCTCAGAAATGCTTTGCCGATATTGACGCGTATTGTTTTTATTTTCAGACTCTTGTTTAGACTCTCTCTGTGATAAGTCTGTCTTACTGTTTTGGGGTTGCTTTGCAGTGTAGGCAGCCAGTGCTGGATTAGCAACCTTCTCTGCAGGACTCACCGCCATTGAATTAGGCTTTTACCAAAGGGACATGCAAACGCATCTGCATTTGTACAACAGCCATTAGGTATGCCCTCTCTCTGAAACGACCTATGATTGGCTAAAGTCTCCCGTCACGGCCTAGATTTTCTAAAGCCTGAAAACAGAGCCAAGAAGAGGTGCAGAAGTTTAGTGTTCTCTCAGACCACTTGAATTACAATATGATACAATAGGATATTGTGGGATTTTTTGCCCAATGAAGCCAAAATTAACCCCCAGCTTTTACTGTAAGTGGAAATTAAAGGATGCATAAGATAGAATTCAGAGTTTACACTCTAAAACAGAATGTGTCAATTAACTCACTTTTGGTTTAGGCACTTTACTTTTAAAATGTATCATTAACTTGTATTTTTATTGTAAATCACAGTCAGTTGGCTGAGTATTCTTTCTTTTGCTCTACATACATAAAGGCATCATGAGCTTGACATGAAGGTGCATCTCTATGTCAAATCTTAAATAAATCTTGATAGTTGGCATGTAATTAAAGCAAACAAAGAAATAAACCAAAAAAATGTCAAGTGATCGTCTGTATCTGGTGAGCCGATCACTTCCACGCTGAAGGCAACCTGATAAGAGGGGACATAAAGGTCAGGAGCACGGTTGTTTAATTCAACGCTGCCTATGTGTGTGAGAGTGTGTGCGCATCTATATTTTAATTTGTGCGCCCATACGTGTGTGTGTGTGTGTGTGTGTGTGTGTATGTGTGACTGTCACATTGCGCTCTCATTCTCTCCATCTCCATAACAGTGGCTGCCAGCGCACCACAGCCGAGGGAGATATATTTAGCATTTCATTAGGAAAACAGGGGCTGTCAATAAAATGCGTTAAGTGGAGTGGAATGAGCGTTGGGGAGCGACGGGCCTCGTTTGTTCCAATGTGAAGATGCTGCGCCCGTATCGACAGTTTGCTTTTCATGAGGCCGGGCCTGTCCCCCACTAATCAATGCCTTTTAGGAGTCTTTTCTCCTGCCTGACTGAAAAATGAAAAATGCTGAGCCCAGAGCTTTAGTCTTCTGATGACAAACTCTCCATGGGAGAAAGAGGGGAGGATAAATGGGAGGGGAGAGCTGGAGGGAAGTGGAGGAGGGGGGGCGTTGATGGAAAGACAGGGATGTAAAGGTAAGGGAGAAGTGTGAGAGAGGAAGGCAGGGGTTGAGAGGGAGGCTCAGGGAGGGCGAAAGGGCAGCTTCGGCTCGTTTGAACACAGTCTCGGAGAGCTTCGGCTCCAGGGGTCCTGTGGGTGTGACAGCTGTGGAAATTCATGGCCATTGATTTTGTAATTAGCGGAGTATCGACGGGATTGACGCCAGGCTGCTGACGGATTACATGGAAATTGTTTCTTCAAAGTTAGTTTTGCATTCCGCCCCTAACCTCCTTCAACACACACACACACCATTTAAAAAAAAAAAAAAAAAAAACGCCCTCCCTGTGCATTTACACACACTGACACACATTTGAAAACATATTCTCTCTCTCCCTCTCCCCTCTTCTCTCCGCTTCACACACACACACACATATGCTCGCGCAGCCAAACGAGGATCAGATCAGTATTAACATGAAGGTTTCAAATGAAGAGAGCTGGAACACATGTGCGGTCCACATAGCCTAGTTAATTTCCCAAGATAGAAACGCAATTTACACAGAAGGCGACTGGTAAAAGAGACTTAATCAGTCAGTTAGGAACATAATTAGCCTTGTACTTTCCTTTTTTCTGCCTCATTTACATGTTTATACATGGCCTTACTTCACTCCACAACTTTCATGACACATAGCAGAGCTGATCTAATTCACTCACACACTTCAATCAGCAGCCACGTTTGGTTCAGCCTCAGTAATGTAGCGTGTTTACGGTGAGACGAGCGGTTCCTATTCTGTTAGATATACCAAAGATGAATTGTTTCGATTCAATTATAATACTGAATTGAATTCGCATTTTGTCGCGCACAATTGTATCTATCAGTTAATGAATTGTGGATATGATGCATACACAGATTAGACCCGACACTGTGAGTCTGTGCGGTGAAATTGGCTGAAAGCAAACCACTGCTTGTCCATTAAAACGCTCTCTGTCAGCTTGTCCTTTGGAGGACAAGCCTGTTTTTTTTCCCCCTGACTTGTAGACTTATACATAGAGAGCAGTTTTTAATAAGTCTCAACTGGTTTTATTTTAGAGCCTATACATAAGGGGGCCAACTGCTCTTTCTTATGGAAATGAAGGCCATCTGCCGCCATCATTCAGCTGAACGATATCCTAGTAATGCAGCCATCTGAATTCATTAGCAGGGGGGATGTATGTGGTCCATGATACCAAAAGAAATGAATCTTTTTCCTGTCCCACCGTATATTTATATGGACCTACAGTACCTTCTCCCGCTCTCTCCCTAGAGTCCTGGCCACGCATAGGCATTTATTTAAGGAGCGTCATTAACTACTACCAAGAGAAAACCGCTCTCCAAAATTGCATGTTTGCAAAGACAGGCTGCAGAATTTAAAGCCGATGCTGCTGCGAAACGCCAAGGCCCGATCACATTTCTTTTTTTTTAACCCTACTTCTCTCTTTCAAGTGCCCCTTTACCCCTCACAATAGAGTTACAAGTCTTCTTAACTGGACCCAATGCAAGAGAGTAAATGAGCAAATATCAGATTGTTTCAGTTTTTCCCAGTGATGATGCGTCAGCAAACAGGCTTAGCAACATTTTTCTTGGTTGAAAATCCACTCAACCTGGCTCTATTTTTGCAACGCTTCGCACACCTTTGACCTATTTTAGAGCAACAGCAAACCATTCCTTAGGCTTCGACGCTTGCTACATGGCCCTCAGCTTCAGATACCAATGCACAGAGGTACCCTTTAGTATGAGATGCACCAGGCAGCAGTATTTTTTGACACTCCGAGCAACTGCCACAGTATAAACGGCAGGAAAGGCCACATAGGCTGGGTCTGAGGGGAAGTGGATAGTCAAGCAAACTCTGGACTTTCACCCACTAGACCACTGTTTGTTTACTTTGTCAAACCAAAAGTCAGTCATGTCATTTTAATAACCACATAGTGTGCTAGTATGTGTAGCATACTACGCTAGTATGTCTTATGGCATTGGGGTGGCTGTGACTCAAAGGTAAAGAAGGCCATCCACCAATCAGCAGATCAGTGGTTTGTTCCCCCTCTACCCTGCATAGTAAAGTTCCTTGGGCAAGATACTGAACCCAGATTGTACCCGATGGCTGTTCTATGGTGTGTGAGTGCGTGTGAATGGAGTAACAGGTGGTACCTTGTATGGTAGCCTTGGCCACCTGTGTGTGAACATGTGTGTGAATTGGTGAACGTGACATGTAGTGGAAAAGTGCTTTGAGTGGTCGGGAGACTAGTGCAGTCCCTCTACGTATGTGATGTTACATTACGTTATAAACAAACATCCTTATTTTAAGCCAAAATATGTTTCTTCAAAGCCTAACAACTCAACGTCAGAGACCGATACACAGGCTCCTTTAATGGCATTATGAGATGCACCGGGCAAGTCAGTTTTTAGAGGCAGTGAGCTTTACCCCAAGTCGTCAAATATTGTCGCTTTGTTAGTGGACATCAGTGTCGCACACAGATCCAGAAAGGCATCCTTTGCGGTGGTATGATAAGCACTGGCAACTACAGTAATAAGAAGAGCGGCAAAGTTCATATGGAGATGGCGAGATGGGAGGTGGATGGGTCAAAGAAACTCCGGTCTTTCACCTGGGAGCCTGCTGTTCTCTTCCTGTGTAAATTTTAAGCCAAACCATTGTGTTTTTTCTAAATCATGTGCACTTGTTGCCTAAACCTAAGGACATCAACCTAAAAATGAAGTGTTTTACCAACATAGTAAGCTTATTTTGAAAAGACACAATGCATGTAACAAGCACTGAATCGACACTCTGTCCCTGAGCGTCCAAAACTGACGCTTGAGGGGCACCTAGCACATCATAGTTTGACTTAACCAAGCGTCAGTATTTGACGAGTTTGAAGTGAGAATGTGTTGGCAAAAACAATATTAGTTAGCCTGCTAGTTAGCTACCGAGACATCAGTATTAACTACAATGATATGATGGTTATCGTAATTTTTAATCACATTTGTGAGTTTCTTTTGTTGCTTGTGCAGCCATCTTGCTGATTATTTCTCATAACACTCGGTTTGGAGCTTACCTCCTTCGTTTGGAAGGCCATGTACCCCTGACACTTCTCTCTGCTGCACTATCCCAACAAGAATTAGGACACGGGGATAGAGCTCAAGTTACTGTTGCAAATGTCATACTGTAGATCAATAGAAAGTGTTTGCTTTTCATTTAATATGTTTTTCATTTAATATGTAGCCTTACAATATGAATAATAAAAATCTTTCCTTCCTTCCTTCCATCCCTCCCCACCTCCCTTCTTGCTCCAGACTCCATGCACATAGAGAGTATCGAGGCCGTCCAAAGGCTCCAGGATTCTCTCCACGAGGCCCTGCAGGACTTTGAGGGCTCCCAGCATCCCGAGGACCCTCGACGGGCAGGCAAGCTGCTAATGACCCTGCCTCTGCTCCGTCAGACCGCCACCAAGGCCGTTCAGCACTTCTACAGCATCAAAATGCAGGGCAAAGTGCCCATGCACAAACTATTCCTGGAGATGCTGGAGGCCAAGGCTTGACACCTGGGCCAGATGTTTGACAGACAGCTGCATCACCCAATGGGAGGCCCGTAAAAAATAAAGGTGGTGTGCCAACAGACAGTGAAAAGGATGAAGCTTGGACTACTGAGTCATTTTAACACTTTTAAATGGTAATAAACATAAAAGAAAAAAAGGGACTTGAAATGTTTTTAAAAAGGGTGAATATCAACCTGATTGACACGGGATCACGATGATGTATATAAAGATGTTGTGTACAGAAATCAGGCAACCGAGGTCTTGTTATAACCAGAGGCCCATTGCTCTATATCACCTGAAGCTTCTGTGAATTTGTTTCTTATCTTATTTTCATCTCAAAATGGAAGTGTGTTAATATAAATGTCCTAAAGAACCGTACGGCTACGTAGCCACACTATGTGTTTCTTTCTTTCATATTTTCCAATCTCAGTTGTTAAAGCAATAGTCTCTAACTGGTCTACATATAATATGTGTACTGTATATTGTGTGAAATTGCACTGGGCGGGGGGGGGGGAGAATTGTTAGACATATTCTTATATTCGTCATCAAAGAAAGCGGCGCCCGCCACGGGTCTGTAAGATTCTCGATTTCCTCGTAATATATTTACCTCGTAGTAGCTTCATTGACTCAGCGGTTTTAGTCAACTTGGTGCTCACAGAAGGACAATGGTTGGCTGGTGATCATAGTTCACAAAGAGTTTGCACTAAGCATCTATGAATAACGTGGCAATAATGGGTGTCATGCTAGCACGCTCTGTCTGGTAGCTTCTAATGTCAGTCAGTCAGTGGTTTTTGCATGTAGACACTAAACTCCCTCCTCACTCCTCACTTCTCTCTAAATATTGGCAACTAAACAAACTGTGAAAATACACATGATAAGCTACATCCTGTGCTGAGAACTTTAAACTGTGCAGCTTGTTAAAAAAAAGTTTATCTAATTTAATTACAGGTAAAATAACAGCAACATCTATGCAATGTAATGCAATCTAAATCACTCTGTAATGCAGCCTGACAGCCCTGCAATAAGTACGACCTTTGTGAAGTTTATAAGTTTCTGTCACTGAGGTGCTGATCCGACTCTCTGGTCATTATTTAGTCTATAGTTTGTCATGGTGCCGCATTAGATTGCATTATATTGTGTAGGTTTTGCTTTTTCTCATATTCACCTCCCTTTGTTGGGGTTGCCCAAGCTCACAACAAGTGTCACTATATTGGTAGTTTTAGCTCCACAGCTCATCAGTTAGTCCTTTGGTTGCTTTTCGTCAAAGTCATGTGAAACCAAAGTCTGCATGCTAGCCTTACACAGTTTTTACGATGCTGTAATTTGTTCTCAGTGTTGACTGCAAGTTGAATATGGTGGCTCTGAGAGAGAAAAAATTAGATAAAGCTAGATAAAATTAGAGACCATTTTGGGGTAGAATCACTCCGGCTGCAAATGTGGGCCAGGGACGTAAAATCAGGGGGCCAGTCATCCCTTACTTACTTTTTACACCCCCTACTTCAGGTGCCGTTACTCAGACTACCCCTTGTCTGCAAACTTAGCCTTCATTGTGATCCAAACACACACCTGTAAAGTTTCATGACTGCATCTTTCCACGGTTGTTACGATATTGTAGTGACAAAATCTGTCCACAGACAGACATATTAACACCTCAGACCTCATATCACCTGTTTGGTCATTTCCACTACAGTTGGTTTCACAAGATCACGTTTTGCCATGATGACTCACACACGGACTCACAAACTGAAAACAATACCAAGACGTCTTTGTGGCGGGTAAATGTTTTATATTCTGATTTCCAGATAACGAGGGCCTTGTGTCTTCATGAATGGCTCTGGTAATTTTAGGCACAATTTCTCCCATTTTATGACAGTTGCCAAATTTATATGTATCAATGAGGCCAAAACTCGTACAGACAGACAGATCATTTCTCCCTTTTATTATTGTGACCTATCTGAGCTTCAGCGTGGCAAGTTCAAATAAAAATGTCACTTTGTGAGTGAGGGTTTTGAGTCCCTTTGTCTCCTCCATCCTTAAAATCTAAGATGGCAGCCGATTTAGATGTAACACTATGACAGATTACTAAAGGTTTAACCCCAATCAGCACATTGAACATTTCTGCAAACCACAGATTGGTTACATTTGGCTAATATGATTGATTTTAGACACAAAAACAATATGGTTATGGCTAGGGAAAGATCGTGTTTTGGCCATGTTTGGTGGCAAAAAAGCCAGGATGTTCGGTGGCTCAAATGCTGCTGGGACACACTGTGATATGCTGCTGAAAACAAACACATTTGGTGCCACAAAGACTGGTGGAGATGCTGCGAAGGGTAGCTAAAAGACAACCATCCACCATTCCCTCCACCTCCCGGTCACAAAGTCAGCTCATATACTACATCACATGAAAAATGTTAATATATGTATAAAACATGCCGATGTAATGTATTTGTGGTTTGCAGGAACATAAAATTTTCTTCTACCTATTGGGTTGTGCAACAATATAATGATACTTGTTTCTAAGAGCTTTATGAACAAAATTTACACCCTTGCACCAAGTTTCATGAAAAATCAAGTCAATAGTTTTTCTGTAATCCTGCTGACAAACGGACAAACAAACAAAACAAACCTTCTTGGCAGAGCCTCGGAGGTGTTAATGACAGAATATATCAGACTCAGATTACAGCTCACTGATGTCCACTGATTTTATTGCTCATCTTTAATGAAGGTGCTCATCATTCAGACTGGTGCTGTATGTTCATTTCTGCAAACACTGACAAACTAAGTTAATAAATCTGTGTACTCCAGAAGTGATAGTAGACTTTTATAGGCTAATATTTGTCAGTTATAAACCAGTTGCCAAATTATTCAAAGAAAACAATCAGAATAATGTGATACAGCTGTAAACATGTTATCATAAGATCAAGATAATACAATAATAAGCTGCTTGTAGGCTTTTAGTGAGACACATATTGTCCCTTATAAACACTTTAAAGTGTTTTAAAGTGCCATTAGCTTGTGCCCAAACAAGAAGAAAACACGAAGCCAGGCGACCAGTAACTACAGACATAGGCCACTTCCTACTCTTGAAATGATCCCCACAGGAACAGATGCGATTGATTCACTGTAATGTAATGCATAGATAATTATAACCCAATACAGCAGAGAATACAATTCCCATGATGCTCTTTTCCAAATGTGTAGCCAGCTAATCCGTCCCCAATTTAAATGAGGGATGTGTCACAGCTGTACAGTAGCAAACCAAAGCATAGTGTCTTCAGATAATGACAAACTGATAAAACTGCATTTTGAGCCAGACACTGAACATGGATGTTACTTAGACTGTTATTAATGGTTGTAGCTTCATTCTGCTCATCGTCCAGCTGTGCATCGTTAATTTTGAGCATCCTCTAAGCCTACGATGGTGGTAACAGCTAAACAAGATGAAAACCTTTTGTTGTCTTTGTTCAGTTGATATATGCTTTTATTAAACATCTTTGTCGATATGAGACGCTGTGGAAGGTCTCAGCCTCACTAAGAGATTTAACTACCATTAAAATGTGGTGTTTTCTATTACCGTGGTTTAAAGGAACAGTGTGTAAGATTTAGGGGGATTTAGTGGCATCTAGTGGTAAGGTTTGCAAAATGTGACCAGCTGAAACTACTCCCGGTTAGAATTCTTCAGTGGTCATTGTTCAGGACGTTTTTACTGGAAGCTGAATTATCCACAGAGGTTTCTCCCTCTTACAAACAAACACACCTGGTGATTTAAACTTGTAAAAATACTAAATAAAGCAGTTTCACATTGCAAATCAGTGTTTTGCCAATACTGTTTGGCATGTCAGGGATGAGCCGTCAGCCCAGCACCTGCTTATGTGCACTTACCTTTTTTCTCCAGTAACTTAAGATCCAGATGTTTCAGAGGTTTTAACCATGAGCCGAGTTATTGGCAGAGGTCTGTTCCTCTCCAAAGCAAATGAACCAAGTCATTTAAACCGGTAAAAACACTGAATGAAGCAGTTTCACGCTGAAATCAATCCAGTCTGTTCTCACTCCCAACTCGTCAAATACCGCGGCACTGTTGACTGATGTCTTTCTCCCTGATTTTGTGTTTAGATGGGCGGATACAATTTCAGAGTTTAAAAAAACTCCCTACGTTGCAGAACCAATAGTAAGTCCGCAGGGCGGTCCTTCGGTGGCTCGCTGAACTCTTGTGCTCTTAAACATAGTCCGACTGTAGCCTCGCGTCACCAGGCTCTTGGTTTCTATTCACTCTGAATTTTGTCTGGATTCCGGTTCCGGTCTAGAGAGCTGATGCCGAATTCACCAAATTCACCAAAGTAAAAGTGTTCACCAACGTAAAACTTTAAATTCTGGCGCACCATGGATTTGGGGTGATGAGGGGTGTAAGAAAATCGATTAACTTAATGGCTTGGGGCTTTTCTTGTAAATTATGTTCTTTAAATTAAAGTTTCACCGTATTTTTATTAGCTTGGTGCTTTTATTTTGACAGAAAGGCGCATCCATCAAATTCTGGATCCTGTCTCACTCGCCCTGGTTCCGGTTCCTTACCAAAACGGCCACTAATGGCCCCAGACTAGTCCGACTGTGTTAAAAGTTTTAAACAAAGTCGCTGTATTTGCTTCATTTCCACAATCTTGTGGACTGAGCACACGTCTGATAAAACGGAGTTAAATCTCTCGGCATCCATTTTCAAGCTCTCTGTGTGTTTGTTTCCTTGCAGACAAAAAAAGAGGGAGCGCACATTTCCGGGAGGGCGTGTCCTTTTCAAAAATGCAAGAGGCGTTGCTTTGTTGCCGGCTGTTTTCTCCGGTGTGTTAAGCACACTTTAGAAAGGAGTGTCCCCAGACTATCAGGAGGCGGAGATCTCTGATTGTCTGGTGGCGAGACTAGATAAGCACTGTCAAGCAACTACTGTAATATAAAGAGCAACATTGTCTGTATAGGGACAGATGGGTAAAACAAACTCCGGACTTTCACCCAGGAGCCTGCTGTTCTGTTACCCCGTGAATTTTGAGATATTGTTCTAAACCTAGCCATGTACTTTTGTTGACTAAATCTAAGAAAATCAACCTAAAAATGAGGCATTTTACCAACATTCAAGCTTCTTTTGAAAAGAAATAATGCATGTAACACGGAGAGATTGACACACTGTCCGTTAACATCCAAAACAGATGCAGGAGGGCACCTTGCTTGTCATCTTTTGACGTGTATGTCCACTAACAAAGCAGCAGTATTTGGGGCGCCTTCTAGCTCACTAGGTAGAGCATGTGCCCCATATAGACTGAGGCCTGAGCAGTAACCCGGGTTTTATGCAAACCTGTGGCCCTTTGCTGCGCATTTCCCCTGTTTCCTGTCACTCTCCAGCTGTTCTTTGATAAAGGCAAAAAGCCCTAAAAAAATTATTATTATTTTTTTTTTTTTTTTTTTTTTAAACGGTGGTATTTTACAAGTTCAGGATAAGAACATGTTGGAAACATCAGTGTTTTTCTGACACTCTCATCGCGGAG